TTTGTCATAGTGGTTGAGTAACTGTGACAGACAGGATCTTCCCGCTCTAAATCCATGTTGTCCTTGGGTTGTGCAATTCATTGTTTTCCATAAAACTAGAAATTTGATTCCTAATCACTCTTTCAAACACTTTTATTATGTGTGATGTTAGTGCAACTGGCCTATAATTTTTTGCCAAGGCCCTTGTGCAACGGAGCTATATCTGCAGATTTAAGTGCTGCTGGTATCTCCCCTGTATCCAGGCTCTTTCTCCATATTATGCTGAGTGCTCTCCCTACTGGTACTTTACATTTCTTTATGAATATTGAATTCCATGAGTCAGGCCCAGGAGCTGAGTGCATAGGCATATTGTCAATTTCTCTTTCAAAGTCTTCCGAGTTTGTGGTAATATCCGTTATATTATCTGCAGCTTGAATGTCATTCATAAAGAAGCTGTCTGGGTCATCAACTTTCATGTTGTTTATTGGTGTGCTAAACATAGCCTCATACTGGCTTCTTAGAATTTCACTAATCTCTTTGTTGTCCTGTGTACGTACCTTCAGTTGTAATTAACGGTCCAATACTGGTCGAGGTTTTTTATTTTGATTTTGCGTTTGTGAAAAAATATTTCGGATTTTTCCTTATCTCTTGTATAGCTTTCTGTTCCAATTCCATTTCCTCAGACTCATATGATCGCTTCAACGTTTGTTCTATTTCTTCGATATCTCTGCTTAGGCTTGTTTTCCTTGCTTGTGATAGTTGTGTCTGCCGAAGCATTTCAGTTATTTTTTTCCTTCTCCTGTACAGTCGTCTGCGTTCTCTTTCTGCCCCTCCTCACAGGCACGTGCTTCAAGCAGACCTTGTAAGCTTCAGCTGTCAGTTGAGCTATTCCCTGTGTGGGAGTTTTGTCGCTTAAGACTGTCTCCCATTGAATGGTTGCAAGGTCTACATTTATTTTTCCCAGTCGATCCTCTTATTGTTGAAATTGAATTGATTGAATATTCCTTCTCGCTTGTTGGGTCTCTTAGACCTACTACCGTTATTTATGCTAGTTCGCACTTCAATGAACTTATGGTCTGAGTATGAAGTATTTGAGACTGTAATGTCTCTGATTAGTTCATCATTGTTTGTGAATAACAAGCCTAGTGTGTTTTCGTTCCTAGTTGGTTCTGTAATCTGTTGATTGAGCGAGAATTTGTCACAGAATCTCAAAAGTTCTCTAACCTGTGGTTGGTTATTTCCCGGGTCATTCCCTGCTATGATATTTGTGTTTGTCATTCTCCATCTTAGACTCGGTAAATTGAAATCTCCAAGGAAGATAGTATCTGGAGCTGGGTTTGCTAGGTTATCAAGTATGTTCTCTATTTTGTGCATCTGCTCTGTGAATTCCTCAATCGTTGTATCTGGTGGTTTATATATTAGAATAATAATTAGGTTTAGTTTCTCTACCTTAATTCCAAGTACCTCTACCACCTCATTAGTTGAGTTTAGTAGTTCTGTACATACCAGGTCCTCTTTAATATACAGACCTACTCCTCCATTTGACCTAGTTTTTCTATCACATCTATATAAATTATAATTTGGAATCCAGATTTCACCATCCATGTAATCTTTTGTATGAGTTTCCGTGAATGCCCCAAATATTGAGTTTGACTCTAATAGGAGGCCATTTATGAACTTAACTTTATTCCTTGACTTTGGCTTTAAACCTTGAATGTTTGCAAATATGAATGATTGTCCATATTGTGTGTAACTTCTGGAAGGTTTTGGTGGTTCTCCCTCCTCTCTACCCTGACCCAGGGTGTGTTGTTGTGGCAATGGTTTGTCCAGTTTTGGAAGTGGTACTGGGGAGTGTGGTAGTCTCTGTGTAGTTGGGGGCTGTGGTAGTCTCTGTGTAGTTGGGGGGTGTGGTAGTCTCTGTGTAGTTGGGGGGTGTGGTAGTCTCTGTGTAGTTGGGGGGTGTGGTAGTCTCTGTGTAGTTGGAGGGTGTAGTATGTGTGGGTTTGATGACGAACCGTAGTCCAGTCTTGGGCATTTCCCCCTCTCCATCCGTACTCCTGCCACGTTTCTGCCTGTCTGTTTCTGTCTGACTTAAAAATTTTCAGGGCTATTATATTGGACTTCTCTCTTATATAGCGCTGTGAACCTCTGACTTGGAAATCAGGGCAATGAAGATCGTAGCATTTCCTCTCATTAACTGAGAGTTTACATAGCTTAGGGTGAAAATATCTACACTCTGTATCAAAACGACATCTGCCTTTCCCTAACCAGTTTCGGGATTTCCGTGGATGCATGAATGAGCATTCCGTGCTTCTGGGCCCATATCTGCACTGTCCTTTTGCATAATACCTGCAAATATTTTCATCTGTGATTGTATTATTCGTGTTTGTACCCGTGCACGACTATATATAGTGTGCGTATATAAAAACCTGGTTGGATGCGAATGGAACGTTGTGTGAAAATTTCAAAGCAATCGGTGAAGAACTTTCCGAGATTAGCGGTTATGCACCAACGAACATTTCCATTTATATATCTATATAAATAAAAATGGAAATGTTCGTTTGTTCAAAATCGCTAATCTCTGAAAGTTCTTCGCCGATTGCTTTGAAATTTTCACACGATGTTCCTTTCGCATCCGCGCGGGATTTTATATACATACTATACTGATGTCATGTCTGTGGCGGGGAAAACACATTCTTTTTTTTTTAAACTGTCTTTTTCATGTGAGAGAAATCTTCGAAACCTCTTTACCGATTTCTATGAAATTTTGACACAACGTTGCATTTGAATAGGCGCGTATTTTTATATACCTACTATATACGCGCCTAACCTGAGACAGGAAAAAAATGCTTTTATTAAAAAAACAGCGCCATCTGCTGGATGTAAATGCAATTCACACTGTAATCTCCCAAAGTTCTTCACCGAATGCTTTGAAATTCTGACACAATGTTCCATTCGAATATGCACGTGTTTTTATATACCTACTATATAGATGCTACAACTGTGACAGGTTAAAATACTTTTTTTTTTAAAGCGCCATCTGTTGCACGTAATAGCAACACACACGATATACTAAATATGTTATGAATTCCATTTCAATATTTCCGATTGCATTGACAAATTAAATTTTCATTGATTTTGATTTATTTCAATTTTTATTTCATTATTTTGTGTGACATTGTGTTGAAATTGAGCTGTGTTGCTTACAATACCAATCATTTCGTAAGTATAAGTAAATACCACATCTGTGAAAGGTAAAAACATTCTTTTTTTAAGAAACACTGCGATCTTTTGGATGTAAGAGCCACGTAAGTCATGATAATAAATATGTTACCATTATATCTCAATGTTTCTGATTGCATTGACAAATTAAATTTTCATATATTTCGATTTATTTTCATTTTTATTAATTATTTTGTATGACAATGCATTGGAATTGAGCTTGATTGTTTACCATACCGTTCATTTCGTGAGTAAGTATAGATGCCACACCTGTGACAGGTAAAAATGTTTTTTTTTAACAGCGCCATCTGTTGCACGTAAGAGCAATTCATGCTATATGTAACGATTCCATTTCAATGTTTCCAATTTCATTGATAAATTGAGTTTTCATAGATTTCTAATTATTTTCATTTTGATTTAATTATTTTGTGACATTGTGTTGGAATTGTCCTTTGTTGTTTACCATACATTTGGTAGTGTATGGTAAATAATTCATACATACCCATTCACTTCATGAGTACAGTTTATTTTTTTATTTTGTCATTTTTTTATTTCGTTTTTTTAATTGATTTTGTTAATTTTCAGTGATAGAAGCATCAGATCATTTGATGTTCACAATTTTCTGATAGAAACATCAGATCATTTGATGTTCACAATTTTCTGATAGAAACATCAGATCATTTGGGAATTCATCGGACGAGGGAGTGGGGAGGACGAGGGGACAGGAGTGGGGGATGGTATTGAGGACGATGGAATAGGGGAGGGGGTAATGGTGGGGAGGACGAGGGGACGGGGGGAGTTGGGGATGAAGGGGACGAGGGGACAGGAGAATGGAGAATGATGGGAAGGACAAGGGGGACACGAGATTGTGGGATGGTGAAGAGGATGAGGGAACAGAGGAGGGGGGAATTGGAAGTGAGGACGAGGTGATGGGGGGGGGGAGTAAGAGATGGTGGAGAGGACGAGGGGATGGGGGAGAGGGGAATAGTGAGAAGTAATGGGAGACGGGGGAAAGGTTGCTGTGGCTCGCGTTGCATTTGTGTTCCTCACGTGTGCCCCGAAGAATGAGAGGATTTGATAAAATGCTATGCCCAAGATTACCATCCGAGTGCCGGCGGGGAAGTGGTTCAAATAGCTTTGGCTATCACTTCCTTCTGTCCGGTCGTGATGGTCAAGCGGATTAAGGCGTCTTGTACATACCAGTTGCGTTGCTCCTGGCAGTATGGGTTCGAGTCACTTCTGGGGTGAGTTTTCAGTTATATATATATATATATATATATATATATATATATATATATATATATATATATATATATATATATATAATATAATATATATATATATATATATATATATATATATATATATATATATATATATATATATATATATATATATATATATATATATATATATATGATTTGACCATTAACCCCCTTCTCCTCCTCTCACAATTTACTGTCCAACCACTTGGGCTGGACGGAAGAACGACGGTCTCGCTTCATACTGGTTGGCGTTCAATCCCCGACCGTCCAAACGTGGTTGGGCACCATTCCTTTCCCCCGTCCTGTCCCAAATCCTTTTATCCTGACCCCTTCTAAGTGCTATATAGTCTTGTAATGACTTGGTGCTTTCCCCTTGATATCAAACTCCCTATTTAAGTGTTTTTGAAAAGACTGACTTCTCTCTGTCTGTCTGTCTGTCTCTCTGTCTCTCTCTCTCTCTCCTTCTGTCTGTCTGTCTCTCTGTCTCTCTCTCTCACCCAAAGACTGACCATTCTCTCTCTCTCTCCCCAACAGCTCATTTTCAGCGGGGAGTACACCAAGGCCATGTCGAAGGATTGGCACTCGGGTCACTTCTGCTGCTGGCAGTGTGACGAGTCGCTGACTGGCCAGCGCTACGTCCTCAAGGACGACCATCCCTACTGCATCAAGTGCTACGAGGCCGTCTTCGCCAACTCCTGCGAGGACTGCACGGCTGTGATCGGCATAGACTCCAAGGTCAGACTCAAGCCCATGTTTACCCCAGTCTTCTGTTGTTTTGTGTGCCTGGATTTACCTGTGGGGGTTTTCTATAGTGAGGGGTTGGTGAAGGGGTTTAGGAAGCCCTCGAGGAAGAAACGGGGACATTGTGTCTCCCTGAGAGGAGGGCATGAAGCCGGCGGCTTGTCAAAGGATCCTCAGTATTTACTCTGATTGATTTTTTTTTCAAGCTGATATGAATACATGAAGCTGCTTTGTGTATTATATTCATGATACATGAAGCTGTTTTGTGTATTATATTCATGATACATGAAGCTTCACCAGTAGTAACACACTGTGTTGACCACATTGTGTTGACCACCTGTGTTGACCACCAGTGTTGACCACACTGTGTTGACCACCTGTGTTGACCACCAGTGTGACCACACTGTGTTGACCACCCGTGTTGACCAGCAGTGTTGACCACACTGTGTTGACCACCTGTGTTGACCACCAGTGTTGACCACATTGTGTTGACCACCTGTGTTGACCACCAGTATTGACCACACTGTGTTGACCACCTGTGTTGACCACACTGTGTTGACCACCTGTGTTGACCACCTGTGTTGACCACACAGTGTTGACCACCTGTGTTGACCACACTGTGTTGATCATAGTGTTGATCACCAGTGTTGACCACCGGTGTTGACCACCAGTGTTGACCACACAGTGTTGACCACACAGTGTTGACCACACAGTGTTGACCGCCAGTGTTGACCACACAGTGTTGACCACACAGTGTTGACCACACAGTGTTGACCACCAGTGTTGACCACACAGTGTTGACCACACAGTGTTGACCACCAGTGTTGACCACCAGTGTTGACCACAGTGTTGACCACACAGTGTTGACCACATAGTGTTGACCACACAGTGTTGACCACCAGTGTTGACCACACAGTGTTGACCACACAGTGTTGACCACACAGTGTTGACCACCAGTGTTGACCACACAGTGTTGACCACACAGTGTTGACCACCAGTGTTGACCACCAGTGTTGACCACAGTGTTGACCACACAGTGTTGACCACCAGTATTGACCACCAGTGTTGACCACACAGTGTTGACCACAGTGTTGACCACAGTGTTGACCACACTGTGTTGACCACAAGTGTTGACCACCAGTGTTGACCAGTGTTGACCACAGTGTTGACCACAGTGTTGACCACACAGTGTTGACCACCAGTGTTGACCACCAGTGTTGACCACAGTGTTGACCACCAGTGTTGACCACCAGTGTTGACCACACAGTGTTGACCACAGTGTTGACCACCAGTGTTGACCACCAGTGTTGACCACACAGTGTTGACCACAGTGTTGACCACCAGTGTTGACCACCAGTGTTGACCACACAGTGTTGACCACACAGTGTTGACCACAGTGTTGACCACAGTGTTGACCACACAGTGTTGACCACAGTGTTGACCACAGTGTTGACCACAGTGTTGACCACACAGTGTTGACCACCAGTGTTGACCACCAGTGTTGACCACAGTGTTGACCACCAGTGTTGACCACCAGTGTTGACCACACAGTGTTGACCACAGTGTTGACCACCAGTGTTGACCACACAGTGTTGACCACCAGTGTTGACCACAGTGTTGACCACACAGTGTTGACCACAGTGTTGACCACACAGTGTTGACCACAGTGTTGACCACAGTGTTGACCACACAGTGTTGACCACCAGTGTTGACCACACAGTGTTGACCACACAGTGTTGACCACCAGTGTTGACCACACAGTGTTGACTACACAGTATTGACCACCAGTGTTGACCACACACAGTATTGACCACACAGTATTGACCACACACAGTATTGACCACACACAGTATTGACTACACACAGTATTGACCACACACAGTATTGACCACACACAGTATTGACTACACACAGTATTGACCACACACAGTATTGACCACACACAGTATTGACCACACACAGTATTGACCACACACAGTATTGACTACACACAGTATTGACCACACACAGTATTGACCACCACAGTATTGACCACACACAGTATTGACCACACACAGTATTGACCACACACAGTATTGACCACACACAGTATTGACTACACACAGTATTGACCACACACAGTATTGACCACCACAGTATTGACCACACACAGTATTGACCACACACAGTATTGACCACACACAGTATTGACCACGGTACACACACATAGAGAGTATATTGCTGTATATTCCTGCGTTCCATTAGGTGTAGTCATACCCATGTGTAGACTATGACGTATATGTATGTATATATGTAGCAGGAGAGGTCAATATGTATGTATATATGTAGCAGGAGAGGTCAATATGTATGTATATATGTACCAGGAGAGGTCAATATGTATGTATATATGTAGCAGGAGAGGTCAATATGTATATATATATGTACCTCAATATGTATGTATATATGTAGGAGAGGTCAATATGTATGTATATATGTACCAGGAGAGGTCAATATGTATGTATATATGTAGCAGGAGAGGTCAATATGTATGTATATATGTACCTGGAGAGGTCAATATGTATGTATATATGTACCAGGAGAGGTCAATATGTATGTATATATGTAGCAGGAGAGGTCAATATGTATGTATATATGTACCAGGAGAGGTCAATATGTATGTATATATGTACCAGGAGAGGTCAATATGTATGTATATATGTAGCAGGAGAGGTTATCTTGAGATGATTTCGGGACTTAGCGTCCCCGCGGCCCGGTCCTCGACCAGGCCTCTATTTTGTTACACATCCCCAGGAAGCAGCCCGTAGCAGCTGTCTAACTCCCAGGTACCTATCTACTACTAGGTGAACAGACGCATCAGGGTAAAAGAAACTCTGCCCATTTTGTTTGCGCCTCCACCGGGGATCGAACCCGGAATCTCAGTACTGCGAATCCCGAGTCTTGGCCACTCAGCTGTCAGGCCCCATTCTTCTTGATGTGTATTCACTGAGGTTGATAGTCATTAAGAATACACTTAGCCATTAAGAATACACTTAAGAATACATTGATCTATCACGTTAGACAATCCCGGCCCAATCGTTTCTTCAAATTGCCCATAACAATGATTGTCCACACTAATGACTTGCTAAAACATCACCCACATTCATTTCCATTTCTCTCAAACGTAAACCCTGAAAATTGCACACTAGTAATGCTCTTAAGTAATGAAAAGTTTAAGTAAATCTTGGGTTTCCTCTCTCTAAGTAATCCAAAGATATGAATTTGATTAAGTTAGGGGTAAGCAGCAACTGATCCCGTTTTCTGTAATGTGGCGTGACAGGGTACGAGGGGTAACTCAGGGAGAATATCTGGCTCCGTCAACCCGGCGCCTGCTGTGACACAGGGTGTGACAGCGCCAGACGGCCAGAGTAATGTAAGGAAGATATGGCGGGGTATTTTAGGGAGAGAGGAATGGGGAGGGAAGTCTTGATATGCTGCTTACCCACTCTTTCCCCATTCAGGAGATATCGAGGTCTTTAAAAGTGTCAGAGGACTTGAGGTCGTCTTGCTCTTGTGTGGGTTCTGCGCTCCCCTCCCAGACCTTCTCTCTCTCGGCACCCTCCCAGCACCTCCCGTTCCTTTAGGTGTAAAGGACCCCTACCACTCTCCCTCTCCCATGCCTCTCTTCTCTCCCACAACCTCCTTCAAGCATATCTTCACTATCTCCCACCCCCTCACTTCCGAGCGTTCTCTCAAGTCACCCCTCCCCTCCCCTCCCAGATTCTCTTCCCTCCCCCCACCAACCCCCCCTCTTCTCTTCAAGCACCCACCCCACCAGCGCCCCAGACACCCCCCCCCCCACAAACCACCACCCACCTATCCCCACCCTTCCACTTCATCTATTTCCTGCCTCTTCCTCATCCCCATGCCAAGGCCGGCTGCACCCCCACACTCTCCCACACACTCCTTCACCCTTCTTACTCCACATACTCCTACACATTACTTACACCTACAACACACTCCTACACAAACACACTCCTACACACCCTTACTCACACTCCACATACGCTTACACACTCCTTATACCTCCGACACACTTCTACACCCCCTTACACCCCTTACATTCCCTACACACCCCTTTCACCCCCACACACTCCTACACACACGCCCCTTACACCCCTTTTCGTACTCCACACACTCGTACACACCCCTTACAGTCCCTACACACCACTTACAACCCCACACACACACCCACTCCTTCACCCCACACACTCCTACACTCCCACACACCTACAACCCCCAAACATGTTGATCCTTGCTTTGTGGCTTGCTTGTCAGTGGGAAGGAGTGTAGCACTAACAACTGTTCCGTTTTCTTCTGTATTAGTAAATATAAAGTCATTTACAAGCGTCTATCCACACAACAATCATGTCTGCGTAAGGCAGAGATGCACTTGCTCTATTTCCGCCTTACGTCCCTATAGATCGTTGGCCATCCTCGAATGAGCATGCAGATAGTGACTATAGTTCTGACGACTGCTGGCCTAGCGGCGAGATACTTAACACCACTGAAGGAGTCTGATACAGCCTCACATGCTACCATCGGTGCACTCGACGATCTGCTACCATCGGTGTACTCGACGATCTGCTACCATCGGTGTATTCGACAATCTGCTACCATCGGTGTATTCGACAATCTGCTACCATCGGTGTATTCGACGATCTGCTACCATCGGTGTACTCGACGATCTACTACCATCGGTGTATTCGACGATCTGCTACCATCGGTGTACTCGACGATCTGCTACCATCAGTGTACTTGACGATCTGGTACCATCGGTGTACTCGACGATCTGCTACCATCAGTGTACTTGACGATCTGGTACCATCGGTGTACTCGACGATCTGGTACCATCGGTGTACTCGACGATCTGCTACCATCAGTGTACTTGACGATCTGGTACCATCGGTGTACTCGACGATCTGCTACCATCGGTGTACTCGACGATCTGCTACCAT